GTGTTATCTACACTTTCAGACACAAATCCAAACCAGCACCATACAGGCTGCTATGAACAAAATCCATCCATCCCAGCCAGACCCTTATTCCATATCATTTATGTCATGCTCAGGTCTTACACTATCCAATACATCCCCATTAAGCATCACCCTCCTTCCTGTCATGTGATATATATGCACAGATGGGCCTTAGTCTATGGGCCACCCCTGTAAAGTGTTTATAAAATGTCCATTGAGTTCATTTAATCCATGACTTGGGCTTCTTGTGTTATGGTGGTTGCTCAGGACAGGAGAGATGACATACTGTGTTAAATTATTGGCTCAGGTTGGGTCACTGCTGTACTTGCCTGGCTTCTTGCGAGGCTCATTCTCCGTTGGTTCGGGTGATTCTTGATGTAGTACTTCCTATTTTATGCAACTCAAATCACATGTTATTTTCCCCCAAAGGTTTAATCTCCTTGGGGTACACACTAGATTTCCCCATTCTTCCACATTACCCACCAACTGTACCCAGGTCTTTGAGCGAAATGTCCCTAGCTCGAAAACCCTGGAGCCTGACCTTGGGTCTCGCCAGGTGCTTTCTGCCAGAGGCTCCAGCTGAGGTCATGCTCCCTGGCAGCAGCATAGAGAACATTTCTCACATCTGGTCCTGTCTGGACTGACCCATGGGCTGCTGTATGAACTATCTGCTGTTTGATCTGTTCAACAGCTTGTTGTTGCTCAGGGCCTCAGTCAAAATCCTTCTTTTGGGTCACTCAACATAGAGGACTCACAAGCTGACTATAACCTGGAACATGCATCCTCCAGAATCCCATAATACCTAGGAAAGTTTGGGTTTCTTTTTTGCTAACTGGTGGGGACATGACTGTTATCTTATTGATCATATCTATTGGGATGTGATGATGCCCACTTGCCATTTTATTCGCCATAACTGGATCTCTCATGCAAGTCCTTTGATCTTGCTTTGTTTTATGGCAAAATCAGCTTTTGGAAGAATCTGAATTTTTCTTTCCTCTTTCTCAAACACTTCTTCTGCTGTGTTGCCCCACACAAAGATGAGTTTCTGAGCACACAAGCCCTTCTTCAAGTATGAAAGAGAAAAAGTAGTCCTCAGCTAAGTTGCAAATACAGCTATCTGGACAAAGCTTCCATAAAAGGATCATCCCCATAAGCTTTCCTGCGGTCTGGAAAGATGAACCACAAAACACCATTCAGCTACTGAGAAAACACACGGGAGTTGTCCACAGTTAACTCAAGACATAACAAAATAAATAAAGCATTCCAAAAAGACTAGGGAGTGAGGGCTCAATACTGAACCAGATCAGCTAACAGTAGCTGGTATAATGAGAAATGTTCTTTCTCCCTACAAACTTCAACTCTATTCTGTTTTTTTCGTTGTTGCAAACACATCCTTATTTTTCAAACTGAATTTATCAGTTTTTTCCCTAATCATTCAGTAATACCTCAAATCACATTAGAACCCCTTTCCTCTTCACATGCAGAGCTGTATGTTTAAGGTCCTTGTAAGCAACTTTCCATACCCTTGCTTGTTCCTGGTTCCTGCCTAGAAGGAAAGTTTTGTGCCAAATTCCCTGGTCTCTCAGAAGGCCTTCATCCTTCCTCCACTAAACTTACTCCACTACAAATTCGTTATCTAGCTGAGCATCTAACAGTTGATCCATTCTCAGGTTACTTGTAAAAGCTTGACTGCTCCAGAAACAACTCAGCGTAAGTTTGGAAGGAAACTTCTTCCTTTTAACTCCTAGTTTTGCCCTGGCCATCTCTGGTGGCTGACTGTAGGTCTCAGACCAAGGCCCTGCAGACAGGCTTGAGAATTTTAATGTTAATTCTGCAGGCCAATTTCTACTGCCTCATCAGCAATAATTCACTTGGATTAGTACTGGAAGTCTATTTCCCTTTTCTCTTTTGTTCTGACCACACAGCATTTTGCTATAGCCATGATGGTCTGAGAATGCTGAAAAACAGCCTTTATGGTCTAATATAATCTAGAAGGTATTATCTTCATCCTGTCCATTGCTAGTTTATGATTCAAACTACTAATGAAAATATGGGCTAGAAAATTTATCAGAATAGACCCCTTAAGGACCCCATTTGAAATGTCATCTAAGTATGAATGTGAAACATTTGTAACTGCTCTTCAAGAACAACTTTTTTTTACCAGTTGTGCACCGAAATATAATTTCCCCTAGAGCATTTCTTCTGTGCTTACTACTGAATTGCTCTTAGTTCATCTAAAAAGTGTATTAAAATAAAATAAAATGTATATATTTTATATCTTTGATCACTAAGCTATTTTCCCCATAAAAGAAGAAAATTAGATTGAGTTCACGTGACATATTAGTTGTATTTCATTTCCATGTATGCCTGACCAATTGTCTAGGAACTTGTAATCCTCCACAGTTTTTCAAGTATATGGCATATCAGAATATATTCAAATATATTCTAAAATAGTTCTCAGATTACTGCATCAATTCTCACCCATGAATTATGGGTGAATTTCATCTGGAACTGTTGACTTGAATACATATATTAAATCTAAATATTCAGCACTCCCACCAGCACCGTGCCCATAATGCATTCCCTTTTCCATGTTAAAATTAATTTCATTAGAGAATTGACTGCCATTTACCTTTGTGAAGACTCAAGCAAAGAAAGTGTTGAATTCTCCAGCACTGTCTGCAGTTTGCCTTCCTTTCTAAATCCCTCTACTCTCCTCTGTTTTCTTCTTACTTCTGACATTTTTACAGAAGTTTTCTTTGACATCTCCAACTGAAATGTATTTCACATCACAGTCTTCCTGAACTTATTCGTCTATATTTTTGTTATTCCTTTATAGCAGCCCTCAGGCACAGGCCAATTTTTCCAGATCTCATACAATTCCTTTTTCATTTCTGGATATTTGAAGCTTTCCTGATGCAGGCACCATAGTGTCCCCCTCTGCTCACTGTCTCTGAACCCTTTAAGCCAAGTTTGTCATTATATATTTAGAATAAATATATAATTTCAAAAGCTACCAGTTCACTTGAAGTTCTTTATTCCTTACATTATCTTCACAAGACGCCTCAGTCTCAGCTCCCTAGGTTGTGTCAAAGCTGTTTTCCCAATTCTTCCTGTGCAGTAGCAAAGGCTGTTATTTCATTATTAGTTTCGTCCCCAAATTATTTCCCGCCTTTGGGTTTTCAATCAATTCCTTCCTGTTAGTTAGATTTAAAATACTGCTTTCGTAGTAAAACCAAAGTCCTACCTTCCTGAAACCAAAAGTTTGTCCACAACACTGGCAATTTGATCACTTGGTTTGTCTGTACCCTGACACACGGGATCCTTATAATCAAAAAGTTATACGGATAGTAAAAATCTACCTTATTACCTGGCCTTTGGATGGTTCTGATGGTAGCTCAAAGACTCCTTCATCTGTCTCCTCTTCCAATTTTCTGTTTCATGTAAGATCCTGAGCATGAAACAGTGTGTTCTTTCCCCTTTTGATCTTCACCCACAGATAATGTACAAGCCTCTTTCCTACCTTTTCCTCTTCTTTATTTGATGCTATTCTGTTGTATTACAAAGACGGTACCAAGTTTTCTTTTACTGAAAACAGGAAAATTCAGGAAAAAGGATTTATTTATTTTTTACTTTTGTCTCAAAAACTCTCTTATTCTTAGGCTTTCTCAAAGCTTTATATGATATACATGGAACACCTTATCCTGCTTCTGCATGAGAAGAGAAAATGAAGTATCATACACTCCCTGCCAGGCAAGACAGAAAAAAAACCTGGTTTTCTCATGTATTTCAAATTCTAGACAGATAGAATCAATAAAAAGACTAAGGCTGGAAGGGACTTCTGCAGGTCATCTAGTCCAAATTTTGCTCAAAGCAGAGCAAAGTTCTAGGTCAGGTTGCCCAGGACCTTGTCCTATCAAGTTTTGAATACCTCCACAGATGGAGATGAAGATGAAGAATTTTTAATTCTGTTCAGTAAAATGATCTTGCATATGTTTTCACATAACACCATAATTGGTTTTGAACATATATTCTATGTTTATTAGATGTTTTGATTTCCTACTGAAGCCAACAGTGACTAGGAGAACACCTGAAATTTTTGGTTATCTAGTTGTCTAAAACCTGCTCTAATTACATAAACTTGTGTGGTGGGTTGACCTTGGCTGGACGCCAGGTGCCCACCAAGCCGCTCTATCACTCCCTTCTAGGGGGAAGAAAATAAGATGGAAAAAAACTTTGTGCGTCAAGATAAAGGCAGTTTAATAAAGCAAGAGCAAAGGCCGCACGTGGAAGCAAAGGAAAACAAAAGATTTATTCTCTACTTCCCATCAGCAGGCGATGTCCAGCCACTTCGGGGAAGTAGGGCTTCAGTACGCATAGGGGTTGCTCTGGAAGACAAATGACATAATAACGAATCCCTGCCCCCCGCCTCCTTTCTCTTAGCTTTTATTGCTGAGCAAATGTCATATGGTATGGAATATCCCTTTGGTCAGTTTGGGTCAGCTGTCCTAGCTATGTCCCCTCCCAAGATCTTGCCCACCCCCAGCCTACTGGTGAGGGGGGAATGTTGGAGAGACAGCCTTGATGCTGTGCGAGCACTGCTCAGCAGTAGCCAAAACACTGGTGTATTATCAACATCTTTTTATCTACAATACAAAGCACAGCACTATGAGGGCTGCTATGGGGAAAATTAACTCCATCTCAGCCAGGCCCAATACAACTTGTTATGAGGAAGGACAGGGAGAGAAAGTCATGAGGAGGCTGACATCTAGCCTTGGTTTATGATGAACACTTATCTTATCAACCTACTGTTAATAAACTCACTAAAACAATAAAGAGCAAGATTTAATTTTAACTTGGTTTACTGGCCTGCTTTAGCAATGGCTAAAGGTGATAGCTTGGAAAAATATTAATCAGAGTCAGCTATTTAAAGTCAGATCTATTTTTTGGCAGTTTCTGCGGGGAAGTTCATCTACCAGCCATCAACCATGAAGATTCTTAGCTACCTCGTGGTTTACCGAAGGTTCCTGCTCATTGTCCTCACCCCACTGCTTTTACTTCCACTTCCACTTATCATCAAAACCAAAGTAAGTGACCTGCTTTGAGAGGTAATTATTTTGCACCGTATATCAAGCCTGAGATACCCAGATCTTTTCAGAATCATAGAATCATAGAATGGTTTGGGTTGGAAGGGACCTTGAATGACTTCGTGATGTTTGCATTGTGGATTTTCTTTTTTTTTTTTTTTTGTCAACTTAGAGTATTTGCATAGAATTGTAGAGAAGAAACCAGCTTTAATGTAAGATTCTGTACTGGTTGCATGAAGGTGTGAATTATATATTTGTTTTGTTGTTCAGGAAATATTTTTCTTGTTTAACGTCATCTAGACTACCTTGAAAATCCTGTCCTTACTATTACATTTTAGCCACTTTTAAACAGCTCTGTATGATTGACAATGGAGATTAATTGTCAGGAAGACAGCTGCAATTACCTTTTTATTTGATGATGGATTTTGTTAAGTTCATCATATATTGTGTTAGCAAATGACTGAAATCAATGATCTGAGAAATTCCCTCTGGTTCCTAAATAGGGCAAAGGTTATGGCGGGACACCTTAGTTTTATTTTACTCGAAATAAATTCTTCTGGCATTCAATAACTGTTGTGACAACTCCAGGCTGATGAAACAGCTATCTAAAAATTTTATTAGTGATTCAAATTGGTACAGCTCTGATGTCAGCAGAATGAAAAGGAATTCTTCTGTGATGTATTATCACACATGCATTATAAGTATCATGCGTAACAATACATGAAAGTCCAGTTCAGAAGTCCTTGCATCACAAATAAATAGTGGTTACAGAGCAACATGCTTCACACTGTCTCGCATCACAGTTTCAATATTTCAGTTTCCTCTCTGAGAGGGAATTCTTGAGAAATTCTTAATGAGGTAGGACTTAAGTGAGATAAACATTTGCTAGGTGATAAATGAATTGACACTATCAAATTCTTTCATACATAACACAAGCTTCCCCCAAAAAATAAATGCAAGCCATAGCTAACTGACTTGGATTTAACATTGTAGCTTTCCAGTCAGAGGTTCCCAGAGCCATTTCATTAAGTTATTCCTTTTCCAATACAAACCATCTCTGCTGCTGTTGAGTAGTTTCATGCCCTAACCAGTGGCATTAAAAGATCTAAACCATTTTCCTCAAGAGCAGAAATACAAATCAAAACTACACAAAAGAGATTTCTAGGATTCTAGAAGAAAATAGGCTCACTTCATCTCATTATGTTTGGCTGTGGCTGCATTTTACAGGCAGCATTGAAGTAAATTCTCCTGAAAAAACTGAAAACCCTCCTGTTTTCCAGGAGTTTAAACAAAAGACACTAAAACTACAAGTCTTAAAAACAACAGCTGTGTTTCTTGTCAGTCTTGCACACTGCTTTTTATATTAGATGATATCCTTGCCTTATTGATGCTGATGACAAAACTTCATTGATTACAGGAGAGACAAAATTTGACCTATTATTGACTGCAACTACTCCTAGAGGTTTAAAGGTTTGCTTGCAGCTGCAGAATGTTTGTGATTTATGTTAATTCATGGTCTGAGAATGACCTATATGATTAATTGTGCTTGAAGGAAAAGGCAGCTGACTTTTTCTCCACCTTCCGTAAGTGGTAGAATTTAAGTGATTTTACTATCTCTTAGAAAAAATTCTTTAAAACTATTTTACAGACTATGTTTCATATCTTAGCAGGATTATCAATAGCAGACAATAAGTACCCTAAATTCAGGTCCCTTGATTCATACTTGTTCCAGATGGGGGGAATCTCTTTACTGACATAGCTAGACTTTTTGCAATCGTGATTTTTTTTCCTGGCCGATCTACTCATATTTTTGTTGGTGCCTTTTGTATTCTAGGAAGCAGAATGTGCATACACGTTGTTTGTAGTTGCCATCTTTTGGCTCACAGAAGCCTTGCCGCTGGCTGTTTCAGCTTTGCTCCCTGCCTTTATGTTCCCATTGTTTGGTATAATGGAATCCAAGGAGGTAACCCTTTTTTTTTCTCTCTATCATATTATGGATTTCAATGATAAAATCTCCAAAGAAAGAACTACATAAAGTTGAAACCTGATGGGCTAATCCATGGATTTGCTGAATGCCAATCACAGTAGGTCTGCCTCAAGACTTGCTTACATGCTTTGTCCTCAGGACTTGTTCATATGTGTTTAATATTTTTTTTCTAGATTGTGATTCAGTGCTTAGATGCTAGTTGATGGGAAAATGCTAGAAAGATATAAAATATCCTTAATGTCACAGAAGTGACATGACACACTGAAGACCCCATGTGCAAAATGCTGAGTATATATCTTCGTGTCAAAAAGAGGACACCACAGATGATCATACTCTAAGTTTATGTTTAAAGTTGTTCTTTTATCTGTTGGATAGATGACTAAATTAATAAAAGCAGCATTTCATTGGTGATTTAGTTCGTATGTGAGATGTGACTGATGATCTTAGGTTGTTCATATCATAAGTCTTATTTTTCATTTTGCTTTAACACTATGTACTTTAGTGCAGTTACTCTTGCATCATTTGGTTAGATGAAATTAACAGTTGCAATGAAATTAACAGTTTAAATTTAATCCAAAAAAGTTTCTCAATATTTATTTCAACATATACCCTTACTGAAATTTTTTTTCATTAAACTGATAACACTAATAGAAAGTCACCATTTAGCTAACAAAATATTTTTTGTTTTTATTTCAGGTGGCATCTGCTTATTTTAAAGACTTTCATCTGCTGCTGATTGGAGTAATTTGTTTGGCAACATCAATAGAAAAATGGAATTTCCACAAAAGAGTGGCTTTAAGAATGGTGATGCTGGTGGGTGTTAACCCTGCATGGTATGTGCTAAACAATGTCTTGCAGGACAACAATACTTGTGAAAAGCTATGTATCCAGAAATAATTGCCTACTGCTTTTTCTGTAGTAGAAATCCAGCCTTTCTTTTCTACTGAAACAAAGTAGATACTTGAAATTATATGGTTGATTCGTAGGTGACACTTTATTATTTTGCTGAAATCCTAATTGAAAGTTTCCCTGCAGTGATTCTGTTCATAATAAGGATCCTTCTGAACAAAAAATCTGATGAAATTTTGAATAACGTAATGGTCCTGTTTCTTAATGGTGGTAGTACATTACATACCTGATGTCTACAGCTGAAAATCTGTGCTATGCTTATTGAAATTTGTATTTCAATACTGTTTGCAAAATTCTGGACACTTACCGAAAGAACAAGAAGAGTTCAAATACACAGTGAGGAAAAAAAGTCATAAAATTAAATTTGTGGTGGGGGAGGAAAAACATACTAAGCACAATGTCTTTATTTATGGCTTTTTCTTTGTCTACCTATGAAGAAAATATCAAAGGAACAGGAACTTCCCCAGCTGAATGAGGTGATGAGGGAAATGAAATCACATACTCTCTACTTACTCACTATCAGCATGTATCTTATGAAGTGAAAACTCTTTCTTTGCTTGCTTTACAAGCTTGCAGAAAAGCTTTAGGCCCACAGATTCATCTGTCAGCACACCAGTAAGGCCGCAGATAAGATCTGTAGAGCGAGTCTGGCTTCCCAGAATACATGATGCTTATGACTCCTTGTCAGGAAGCGGACAGTGACAGGAAGTAAGGAGTGAGAAAAAAAGAAACCCCAGGTCTAAGAAATGAAATGTCTCTTAGGTGATCTAACTAATAACACCTCATGGAAATGTTGGATTATTTCTATTCCTCAGTAATTTGTCTGCCCTAGTTTTGAATATCACATGTATTTTGATTTTTCCTGCATCTTTTAATAGCTGGTAGCTTTCTTTTTTGACAAAATGCCCCTTACTTTCTTCAACTGCCTCCCATTATCTTTAGCTATGTTCTTGAGGTATGCAGTTTTAGTTATTTCAACTTCTCTTTTTTGATCACTCCTAAATCCTCACCTTTTGGCTGAAATCTTGAAAGGGAGAACATAAGTGGATGGTGTGCTGTGCTAAGCTGAACACTGCTGGGGAACTTGCTGTGGACACAGAAACCCGCAGCCAGCTGCTGAGGATACCTAGAGCAACGCCACAGACAGCTTTGTAACCCTGAGGAAGCAGTACCCCTCATAACTATCTCAGCTCTATCACATTTCCCGATCATGACAAAAGGATGATAAGATTATGATAAAATGATCTGTGAAGGAGAGGATCCTCCCACCTCTCAGCATCTGCTGCTCGTTAGCTGTGCCCACTGCAAAGTGATGCACGCTGTTCCCTGTGCATAGCCCTCCTCCTCCGCTAGCAGGAGTCCCCAGCCAGCCTGCGCACATTGGAGCCTCATCCAGCCCAAGGGAGAGATATCATTGTAGGCGGTTTCTGCATTAGAGGACATGGGGGATGCAGCAGTGGAAGTAGAATAGCAGGAGTCTTCTGGATTCTGCATTCTGCATTCTTCTGGAGAAACTGGCTTGTATCAGAAATAGTGTGGCCAGCAGGACTAGGGAAGTGATTGTCCTTTTGTGCTTAGCACTGGTGAGAGCACACCTCACATACTGTATTCAGTTTTGGGCCCCTCACTACAAGAAGGACATTGAGGTGCTGGAGTGTGTCCAAAGAAGAGCAACGAAGGTGGTGAAGGGTCTGGAGAACAAGGAGCGGCTGAGGGAACTGGGGCTGTTTAGCCTGGAGAAGAGGAGGCTGAGGGGAGACCTCATCACGCTCTACAACTACCTGAAAGGAGGTTGTAGCGAGGTGGGGGTTGGTCTCTTCTCCCAAGTAACTAGTGATAGGACGAGAGGAAATGGCCTAGAAGTTGCACCAAGGGAGGTTTAGACTGGACATTAGGAAAAACTTCTTTACTGAAAGAGTGGTCAGGCCTTGGAACAGGCTGCCCAGGGAAGTGGTAGAGTCACCATCCCTGGAAGTATTTAAAAGATGGGTAGATGTGGTGCTTAGGGACATGGTTTAGTGGTGGGCTTGGCAATGCTAGGTTAACAGTTGGACTCGATGATCTTAGGGGTCTTTTCTAACCTAAACGATTCTATGAGTCCCTAAAGGCCTCCCATCATTTGATCTGTGTGGTCTGGTCTGCAGACTAGCAGGGAAAGGTGAATATGTCTTTGCAACCTGCAACAACTAGAATGAGTAATGAAACATTGATTGTGCATTATATAACAAAGAGTGACTTTATAGTTGAATGTTAATGAAGTTATCATCCAAGGTTCCATGCAGAATATTTTTTAACATCATAGGGAGAATAACTGGAGCTGAACAGGTTAGGATATGTTTTATTATTTTTTTAATCAATTTTAGAGTCACTCATTAGGGTACACCACATTGTACTAAATGGTCGTCTGCCCATCAGTCCATCAAATGCTGGAAATTTATGATGTTTTGAAACATGTTAGTGAATATCTTAATTTGCTTTGGTTTTAAATCCTCTTGCAAGTTGTACTGAAATTGTATTTCTCTACAATGTGAACATCCATATTCGGTCTCCTTAGCCTGACCAGTACTTTCTGCATAAAAATTTCTCCTGAAAACACAATTCTTCCCCAACTTCCGTCTGAGGACCTAATCAAAAACTGCGTAAAGTTAATGGGTTTTATACTACTGATGACAATTTGTGTTGAATCAGGTCCACCACTTGCAGGTCTGCAGATCATTTCATCATTATGCAGTTAAAAGTGCACAGAGAAAAGACAAGGCACTCCTATTGAGAAAAAATAAAGTCTGAGATGTTGTTGCTATTAGCTGAAATGAAAGGCTATGAGAGGCATTCTGAATAGTATTTTTGCATCATAAAATATTGCTTACATTATTTTTGTATAAAAGCTTGTCTTTATGTGCTGAGTAATCCTTACAGTTTTTGTGAAGCTTCTGATCAAGACTAGGCAAAGAGCTTTACAAATTGCACAAATGACTTCTCAGAAAATGCTACAACACCACAGTCCCTCCACTCACAGTTGTTCCCCTGCTGTGGTGATGCATGGCAGGTGTTCAATGACACTGCCAACACCTTGGGATAGGAAGTCAAGAGGACTACTCTCATTTACAACTCCAAGAGATGCATTAACAATGACAACGTGGCCTGTATTTTAAGTTTTCTGTCCAACTTCACCAGATATGACATGGAATATTTGATTTTTTTAGTGTAAAACTAGAGTGACCCCAGTCACTGATGCAATCCAGTGCATTGCATCAGTGCAATCAGGAACTGCACAGATGCGATTCCTATTTGTAGTAAACAGCATAAGCTGTGCCAAGATACTAAGATATTGTAATGACCTTCACTTTCCCATGTAATATCAAATCTGATGTTTATTGAAGCACAAATAATCCCTACACCTGTCTTGGAGCTCTGATTAAGAACTAAGTTAAGTACCACTTACTGAAATGTTAATATTTCTTCCTGTAACGCCTGGACTGGTATCTAGAGGACTTAGAGACTAAGTGATAAGTCCAGGGTTTTGACCTAGCTTGTACAAAACAAGATTAATAGCATTAGCAGTATAGCCACTGTAACTTTCATTTGAACTTGTGACATGCATGGTGCTCTTTCTTCAAAGATGATTAAAATACAGTCTCATTCTGTAAATAAACATTATTTCTTCTGTTTCAATTTATAGTATATTTGATCCTTTAACTCTAAAATATGATAATTTCAGTGTCTTTTATCAAGATAATTTTAATTCATAAACTTCCTCAGAGGTCAATTACAAGCTTTAAATTTTCAGTGTTTCCTACATTCAAGCTTTCTGTTGAAAAAGCTTTCCATTTATATTAAATAGGGCGGTGATAGGAGGTGTTGCTGTAGCAGCCACAGACTCTTCTCTCCTGTTTCAGGCTTATGCTGGGCTTCATGGTTAGCTGTGCTTTCTTGTCAATGTGGCTCAGCAACACCTCTGCTGCTGCCATGGTGATGCCGATTGTAGAGGCTGTAGCTCAGCAGATCGTCAGAGCTGAAGCAGAAGCTGATGCGCTGGAGATGTCTTGCTCTAATGGCTCCATCAACCTGGCACTGGAGCTGGACGGTAGGCACGCAGTGCAGTTTTTGTCTTTGCCCACCCTCACTCTGCAGGAGTAAACACCACATAAAATAAAGTTGAATGGCTAGGGAAGTACTCGCATCGTTACGTGCTTCATTGCGGCACTTCTCTAGGATTACTGTGTGTGAGGTCTCTTATGTTCACAAAGGTTAATTAAAACTGAACAGGTGCAGAATATGGCAGTTATATGAGAGAACGGGAGAAGAGAAGAGAAGAGGCTGGCTTGTTCAGCCTAGTAAAATGTCTGAAAAGAAATATGACTACAGGCTATAAATACACTGGAGGTTAGCAAGAGAAAAGAGCTCTCTGAGCTCTTTAAATTCTAGGGTAATGTTGGGAGAACAAATGAATCTAAACTGGTTATGTACACAGTTGGATTGTAAATTAGAAGGATTTCTCCTCATTAGAAGATTCAGACTCCAGGGAATATGAGCCATGAAGGAGTAGGGCACAACTGTTTTTAAGATTGGCACTTGTAAATGTATTCATGGAATGATGTGAAGTGATTGCATGGAATAGGACATGCTGATGGAGCCTTTCCAATTTTACTCCCTTAAATACTTATCTGTCTTTGCATTAATGTCTTACAGAAAATATAGGAGAATGCGAAAGCAGTGACTTGAAAGAGAAACAAGTTAATGGGTAATAGTTATTCATTTACTAAATTCTGTTCTAAGAATTCATCTAAATAGAATATCTGTTTATTACCATACATACCTTTGTTTTTCCAGATACGACAACAATGTGGGTAGTACTGTGTGCACAACTGAAAAGGAAAATGAAAAAGAAAAGGAACAGGTACTTAAGGTGTCTTTTTATTGCGCAGCTAATGTGTGTAACTTAGTTTTAACCTAAATCTCACTTCTATGTAACACCTAACGTGGCACAGCTAGCAATGAAGCTAGTTTCATGTGAACAAGAGATATATCTGTAGATATACAGTTTGCTTATGTAGTTATTTCATTAGTGGTTTTGTGCTCCCAGTGTATTTTACACAAGTTAAAACAACCTCACGAGAGTACAAACTCTGTATACCAGGTGTGTATACATATATCAGTATATACAAAGAAAGTTCCTGTGTAAAGACTGAGACAACTCAGGAAAAGGACTTCAGGATTTGACTCTCCCTCCTCTTCCTTTGCATGAATAACTGTAGTACCACTGTAACAGCAAACCAAACTACGCTATATTATAGCTTACAGCTATATTGCCAGCAAATTGTCTGGCTCTTCTGGGACATCCTTGAATCCTATTTTTGTGCTTGGTGATGAGCCCCTCATACATATTAATTGGTGTATATTCTTTCTAAGCAGAACCTACCACCTGTTGAAGCAGGGAGAAAAAGCAAAAAGGACAAATACAATGGGATTTTCAAAGTGATGTGCTTATGTGTTGCTTATTCTGCAACCATTGGAGGGTTGACCACAACCACAGGAACGTCAACTAATCTGATTTTTGCTGAGCACTTCAATACGTAAGAGACTATACTAAATTATTTGTATTCTTCTTAATCCAGAATTTTAACTGTTCTTTCTTCAGGTCTCACATGGCTCCCCTAAAATGCATTAGAAACCTTACCCTTTGATTTGATGTTATTTGATTCTATTACTTTCTTTTTGTTATTTATCTGTTAAAGAGATAAAATGAACTTGCATGGTTGTATTTGCCTGACACTGGGAAAGGCTATAAGTGATCACTCAACACATGCAACAAGATGACCATTCTTTGGTTAAGTAGTACTCTACTCTTTGAATAGCTGCATGGAAAAAGATGGGCTTATCTGAGGAGGAAGACCCTTAGCATGAATATGACAGACACTATCTGGCCTTAAAGGACTGTTATTCGTTTCTATGTACAGCAGGAGCTAAGTTCGGGTCTGCTTAGCAAAGGGCATCAGGAGACTTTCAGAAGGTTATGCTTAGTGCATTGTTGAAGTGAGGAATTTAGGTCCATTAATCAAAGAAAAAGCAAATCGTTTCAAACCAGTGTGAAACTTTGCATTCAGTGGAACACTTTCTTTTGAGGTTATTAAAACCATTATTTAATATTCCTTTTATTTTCTAAGTAGAACTACTTTGAAAAGAAAATTGGGAGATTTCATTCCAAAGCTTTTGAAAAACCAATAGTTCTTGCTGAACTTTTTTTCTTCTGCAAACTACTCATTGCCAGAAATATTCCTACTCTAATTTTAAAACAGAAAAGAATAAAGCACAGTCCTTTTATTACCCTCTGCCTACTATTCTGTATTGCACATGGCAAAATGGTGAAAGACCAGTTATGATAGATTTTCTTCCAACCTGTGTTCCATGAATGGATGAAATTTGGCTTCAGCATGCTGCTAAATAGAACTGAAATGGTACAGTCTGTACCACTATTCTCTTCAGCCTGTGCTAAGAGAATAGCAACAATGGAAACAGTATGGAAATTATAAGAGTCTCTGTTATTTGGGGCAAAGAACTACAAAGGGCAGACTACGGCATTATAAGTCCTTCAGATTTAAACTTTCAGTCATAAAAGCCTTTCTGGTTCAAGCAGGCTTCACACTCAGGAGCCTAGAAGAATCCGAGATTGATTACTAGGGGTAAGAACTGTTCTTATTCATTTCTCTGAAGTTGTAGGAAACTTGAAGAAAACTGGCTTGCAGCTGGTTTTTCGGTTTGTCTTAGCTGTTAACAATCTCTTCAAGAATGCATAAGCAGATTGTTGTTCTCTCCCTGGGTCTCCACCCTCTGCTAGGAGCATGGGCCGTACATGGAGCACTGCATGTGTAATCCAGTTTCATACCCCACCAGGATTTTCTTTAATCTTTACACAACCATTGAGCCTAATCCTTAAGCTGAATCTACCACCTAACTGTGCAAATATTTTTGTCTATCTTTAACTGTCTTGCTCCCCTTCTCCTTGTTTTATTTATGCCCTGTCTGAAGTGGGAATTGACCCGTTAGCATGACTTGGACACATTTGCAGTCTAGCTTTATGTATCGTAAGCATCTAAAGCAGAATAATTCAGCAAAAGAGCTGTACATACAGCATATTCCTGGGTTTCCCACTCAGTGACAAAACAATTGAAATGGCACTGCAAAATTCCATATTCCTCATATATTCCCAATTTCAGTATTAAATAAGTTGGAACTAGTGTTTACTCTTCTCTACTTCCCTCCTTTTCGTTTGTCACGTGAAGAGGAAACCAGTATATCTGTGTTAGCATTGGAGCCTATGTGTTGCTGGGAGTCCTCAGCCTGCTGTAGATTTAGGACATGAATTATGCCGTGTTCCACAGGGCAGAAGCAAACAGTGGAAATGTTGATGCAACACTAAGCATCCCTGCCAGTGAGACCAGCTTCCATAAGAGCTCCTTTTCAAGACAGATTTGTTACTGACTCTCTCAGGGTCACTCTATTCAGTCTTTAATTGTATGCAAAGAGATACTACAATATAGCATCTAGAATATATCCAACTGAAAAAAAAAAAAGCAAAAAAAAAAAAAAGAAAGAAAAAGAAAAGTATTGGCTAACACACTGAGAATTTGTGTAACCAGCTAGCAGACTAAGCATTAGTCTGCTCACCACTGCCCATAAGATACCCAGAAGCCTTTACTGGCCAGGGAGGCAGCAGTGAGGATGAGATGGGTTGGTCCTCACTATTCCCTCGGTGATGCTGGGTCCCTTTCTTCTGACCCCATATTTTTTTCCTTTAGTATTTTATCCCTTTCTGTATTGGTGTTTTTCCCCTTGAATCCTGCAGGCTGCTGCAGATCCCCATGTCAGTTATCTCACGTCTGCAGTTTTACCTGTCTAATCTTACGTAGCTCTGCTGTAGAGACTTTCTCACAGCTGTTTCCCACACAAAGCAGTTTCGTCAGCGCTGCAAGCCGAGGTTCACAGCTGGGCCATATTAGAGCAGGGCTGTGGATCCTAGGAGCACAGACAGCTGCACTCCAGGGCGAGGGGAAGGCTGTGGAGAGATCAGAGAAAGAAAGGGTTACCAGACAACACAGTGTCAGGGAGAAAAGTGAGTTCTCCTATGCTTGGGGAAGAGTAAATCCTACGACAAAACCTTTGGTTCTCCAGTCAGGCTCCCTGACAGGTTAATCAATTTCCTGAATCCTATTCTGCTAACTGACTTTGACCTTCCAACACGAAGAATCAAACTTTGCCAACATTACGTTATTTTCAACCTAAGCAATTTTATAAAAGTCATAAAAGAAATAATCTTATCTGGATTTGTTCTATGAACCAAATTTGTTGGCATTTGTAGTGTTTGCCTGGAAAGAGTTTATTGTTATTGGTACTGAATCACTGTAAAATAGGGATTATTAAAATCAATCACATTTTTTCATTTGCCAAAGGAAATAGGTCTAGAAAATAAATAGTTCAGTGTGTTCTGTCCAGCCTTGCCTCAGGCAAGACCCGTAGTAGATAATCCAGCAATAGCGGATAATGCAACCAGATCATTTTTTAAGTCATTTAAATTGATCATCCAGTCTACCTGAGAAATATTTGCTCTGGAAATGAAGAATACCTAACTTTAATATTAAGATTACTAGGAATACTTACATATATATTCAGCCCTGCACAAATTTACTGTGAAACCTGACCACAATAAATTAACATTTTTCAACGGAATTGACTCTTTAGTATAAAGTTTTCAAGAGCTTGTTTTGCTGCTCAGTAATGAATTACTACACATAATTCAGGAAAGATGATAAACACTTTAGCAAGTCATGAAATGCTACGTCATTGCTATGCTGATGTCAGTTTTTTCCTATCTTGGAATTTGTACATTCAAAAATTGATGTGGCTAATCATGTAATAAAAGATAAATAGCCACGTAATTAATAAATTATATATAATAGCACAATGCCTTTTCTGGTTCCAGTTTCACTGTCTCATCACTATGTAGAGTTGGGATTTAGAGCATCACCTCAAGAAGTGGGTAGGAGTTTTGGTTCAGTCCCTGCTGGTACTTAAATTGCAATATATGTAAGTATCATAATAAATACAGATCAATCCTAAAATTTGCACAATATTTGAGAAAACATTTATAATAAGCATTTACTGCTTCAAAGACCTATGTGACCATCAGAATTCCTCTTCTAGCAAGGCCTGAAATACAAAAGATTGGCTAATAATTGGAAATAGTCATTACAGTCTCTGGACATTGTGATTTCCCTTCCATCTGATTTTTGCATCAAGGAGGAAGGCTATTCAAGGAGACTAGAATTTTCTCACTTTTAGCATTATGAGCTCTCTCAGTAGAGCTGGAGGAGCTCAAAGGAAGGATAACTTCTGTTCGTAAAGTAAATTGGAAAACAGGATTCATTTACCTGGCCTTTTTGCCTATCTGGCATCTATATCATTCAATAGTAAATCCATTTATTTCAGAAAACCAAAGCCCATTTCTCCTTTTCTTAAATGCACATGGCAGGGAGAGCTCTGGTTGAATGGCCCACATCTGTAAACAGTAGATTAAGGCAGCCTCAAAGAGACAAGATGACGGGAGAGACAATCCACCTAACAAATGAACACTCCTGCCTTTCCTCGAAATTAGTAATAATAATTTCAGTTTTAATCAATTTTGAATCCCTCACGGAACCTTAAACAATACAAGTCTCAATGTTGTCTCCACTGCCGTCTTCTAAGTTCATTGGAGCTTGTTCATTTGAGTAATTTTCTTGTGCTAAGTCTCCTCTCAAAGAACTGCTTTTCTTCAAGTTCTGTTTCTTTGTAGTCCTAATTAGTCCTTAACGCTGTGAGTGGCCCTTCCTTGCCTACTGAACTCAGCTTAGACACACCTAGATCAGTGTCAGATCCCCAGACCTGTTGCTGATCCAGTGCTCAAATAACTGGCACAACTAGTTCCTGCAGTGGTCATGGTGATCGGGAACGGGACGGGAGGGTGAGGGAAGAGGACGCCGGAGGCCACCTCATGCTGAAGTCAGCTGCCAGCCAGAAATACTCTCTTGCAGTGGGGCTTTCTGGCACTTCTCACGAGTCTTCATTCCTTTGCAAAGCTCAACTGAACAGTTTTTTACTTTCATCCAGACGTTACCCAACTTGCCAGTGCATCAATTTTGGATCCTGGTTTGTCCTTTCTGTCCCCATCACAGTTATTATTCTGCTGCTCTCCTGGGTCTGGCTCCAGTGGCTTTTCCTTGGGTTTGAGTAAGTAAATGTTTTAATCAATAAAACTAAAGGTTGATGATATGAGAGATACGTTGTACCAGGAGTAAATATTGCATCTAAGTCTAACAAGCTCATTACAAGATAATGCAGCAACAAGATAATGCAGCAACAAGATAATGCTGCAACAGTGATTTTTCATCCTTGATTAGTCCCATCCTTGAGTCTCTGGATGGGACAAGAATTTTCTAAAATAAGGATCTTCGACTACTCAGCCCGAAGTGAAAAGTCCATATCACAAATGATGATACTCATTCCTTTAGAATATACAGACATCATCATTAAACAGTTCATGTGTGCAAGACAGAAGACTATTGAAATTTTATACATTTTGGTCTAAGACTGGAAGATTTATAGTCAGGATGTTGCCCTTTGCTGGAGTCAGGGATTGGCTTAAATACTTGAGCAATATCTGTGTTATAAACTGGATGACTATATTTGTAAATGTAAAGCAAAAAACTTCCACTTTTCCAAAATGTGTATGTGGTGGTATGGTGTTTTTTTCCACCCCCCCTCGAGCTTGTGTTTTTAAAGTTTTGGAGAGGAAAATACTTATTTGGGGCTGATTCTTCAAAGCCTTGTTCTCCATGAGCTCATTAACATCTGTAGAGATAACAACAGGGACACCTGTCTTCCACAATTACATGGCTATGTATGGCGCAAGAGATGAAGAGTGAGACTGTCCACTCTTAAGCAGACTTAAAATCATCCCACACTTACCACTCCATATTTGGACATTTATTCTTTAATTTTTCTTGATTGTTTCGATAATGTTCTTTTTAACACTGTGTAAGGGTCTTATCCAAGAGTGAAAACCTACCTCATACCAAAAAGTCTGCTGATCAGTATGCAGGCTATTCATGCGGTACAAACTTTTTCATTACAAAACAAAGTAAAGCAAAGTTATAGATTACTTTCATTAAATAGCCAGGTTATGTATTTGATTGTTTCAATTAGTTCCCATGATTGAAATTTCATCCTTCCTGGGCAAATGAGCTTTTCTATAACAGGACACATTTTGTTGCTGCCTGTGTCAATCTCCCATTGAGCTTTGTCAATTAACTCCAATATGCTCAGTTTTGTGTGTGATAATTAAATGGGAGATACTGCATTGTAAAGTGAAAATTTTACTTTTGCAAAGTGCTATTTGATAACTGGAAAGGTTGGACTTTTTTTTTCTGTATACACTGTTAATTCATCATTCAATATTGCTGATTTACATTCCAGTTTTAAAAACATGTTCAAGTGTGGCAAGAAGAAAACAGCTAGAGAAGAGGCCTCAATACAGGTGATTCAGGAGGAGTACAAGAAGCTTGGACCAATGAGGTATGTCAAACTATAAATCTGCAAACAAGACTGAGTAAATCCAAGTGCGAATTCAGGAAAACATATAACCCATTCTGTTTCTGCTATAGCTACCCAGAAATTGTTACACTTGTCCTATTCATTCTAATGACCCTGCTGTGGTTCACCAGAGATCCTGGCTTTATCCCAGGATGGTCTTCACTTTTCCCAAAGTAAGTAATCTTTTTGATACACTAACGAGAACTGTACTGTGTCTTAACTATATACTTTCTTTTCTTCTCAATTTAAAAAAAAAAAAAAAATACTTTCAATACTTCTGAAATATTCCAGGTTGAAGTTGTTGAAAACCTTTGTAGTGTATACAGAATAGGTAAACTCCAGCAATTTCATAGATATATGTGTGCAATATCTGAAATGTGCTAAACCCATTACAGGATAAAATAAAGTGCCTCCTAAAAGGGATTACACCTAGTTTTTAGACTTGATCCAGTGAAGGAGAATGCATAATGATTGATGGTACAGTAACCTACTTCCTTATCAAATCTACAATTTCAAGAATAAATCTTTGGTTAGAATTTTTTGATCTACTGCCCTTAGTGACAGCCACACTTGTATGCATACAGGTCAACATCCCCTGCTTTGACAGCTCTAATTAAGGATATAAATTACTATCTGTTCATACATAACTCTCTCAACGTCACAGTTCAACTAACCACCAAAAAGCCAGGAACTATTCAGGAACTATTACATTTTTTTTTGCCTTCTGCTGCATCTTGGTTTTCAGTCCCTTCCCCAGGATCACCTGGACTTTTTTCCCTAAGAAATCATTCACTCTTGCAAGAACTTATAATACCGTGATATATCCTGTTCTCTTGCTGTAATTACTGTAATTTCAGTTCTGTTCTGTGATAAAGGTCTGAGTTTTGCTCTGGGGTACTGGGAAGTAGTTGCAGGACTGGGAGGAGCAGGACTTTGAGTTGTTTAGGCCCTTCTGGATTTAACATTTATTACTGGATGGGTCAAAGGCCAGAGCTGGACTTGGATGGTAATTTTCCATTTTGTTTTCCTGTGTGTCTGTCATAAACAACATGTGAACATGCATCCATCACGCCTTCTCTCTTTAAATATACTCCCACCATTCATACACACACACACATGCATGCACCAGTGCTCTGCCAGGAAGTCTGGTAGGGGGTATTACAAAAAATAATTGTAGCCCTTCGAAGATTTAAAGTGCAAAGCAAAAATATTTTGTGTGAAAAATAGCATGAAAAAGTGCAATAAAAACTAAAATTTTTGTTTAATTATTTTTTCATTACGCAAAAAATTGCAAAAGACTTTTTTTCCCCTTATAACAACAACAGAGCTGATGATCTTTGTCTCATATGAAACACAGTATTCTTGAAGGGGTTTTGGAGAGTCGACCTAATCAAGCAATCAGCCAGCTAAGCAATCAGGCTGGCCTTGTTTCTCTTTCTGCTTCATATTAACATTCAATGCTCATCGAGCACCGCTTAATGGTGAGATACATCAGATACTGAAAAACAGACATTGTAAATAACCTTTCAGATTTGGGACTTATGGCTCAAATGGATTATTTCAGTCCAGAGATCCCCATTTTCCTATCTGAAGTTGTCTGTTTACTGTTGTCTGAGGATTTTGTTCACTGGCAGGGAAAAGCAGGATATTCTCATAAGAAGTGTGGTTACAGGTTCTGCACGGGGATGTTACTTTGTGGATGCCCTCTAATGTTTTCCTTGGAAGGGAATGCAAGCATGTGTCATGTCACATTAGGCTGAATCATGTTATAATTTGGGTGAGGCAACCTGAAGAGAAACAAAGCTTGTATTACTGCCTAACAAAACCCTTAAAGGGAAATAAAGCATTTCTTACTATTCAGACCTTGCCTATTTCCAGATAGCTTTAATTTATCAATCAATTGCATTAATCAGCATAAAACCAGGCAACTGTATTTTTACTTCTCTGAGCAACAGAAAACTTCTCAGCCAAGATACGCGAGTAGGGCAAGGAGCAAGCACAGGTACAGCTGGGAGTAGCGAGCCACCTTCTTTAAAGAAAACAAAGAAGCAAACAGGAAAAGGAACTCAAAACCCAAGAACTGTGGTTCTGTCAATGCTTACATTGCACTTATCACTGTGATGTCCAAAAGGCTTCTAGCAGTGCATGAACTGCAGCTTGCATCGCTATGCACGTTCCCTAATGCCTCTGCATACAAAATTGTTCAGTGTTTTGGATTTAAGTGTACTGATAGGCATGTGTACAACTTCCTTAAGTTTATGTTACAGGAAATAATTATGTAATGAAATATTCTCTGCCCTTAGAAATCTAATTTCTTATCAGAAACCTGATAGTACTGTTTTTGCACAGGACCTTATCCCACAGTCTCAAGTCAGCCTCATGGAAGTTCTGTCACCCGCACAGATGAGCTTTGTCCTTAGGAAAAGCTGCAATGTCAGAGCTATAAGTAACCTTGAGACCCTCCATGGCCAATGAATGGGTCCTATTAGGTACAATTCACACCACTCCCAGGGTCTAAAAGCAGACAGGACCGTCAGTTCATTTGTTCTAACATGGTGAAGATCAGAAGAGCTACATTATTCTGTGTTAAGCCTGGTATAGATTTATTTTATCAGAACATTAATTCCCAGAAAGCAACCAGACTTGATTTCAGGATGGCAAAGCACAGGTTCCTCAGATTTTGGAATTTACTGCTTTCCTTGATACTCTGTCTTGGTAGATAATCATCTCTGTTGCCAAACTAAACAAGACAAACTCGCACCTTGTTTTCTGTCTGAATATAGCTTCCAGCCATCTGTTTTTGTCTTTCCCTCCCAGATTAAAAACTTTTCTGTGATAGGTGCTTTAAGAATATACGTATCTGATTTAATTATATCACATGATAAGCTTTGTTTTGACAAACTAAATGGAATGCTCAAAGTTTTGCTTTGAGAAAAAATTCCCATCACTCTCACCACCCATGCTCATGCTCTCAGCCCCTTGTGTGCATCCTCACAAGTTACCAAATACCCCTTTAAAATACAAACACTGATTTTTTTGAAATCCCAGCAGAAATATTGGTGTTTAGTGATTATACCTCCCCACTTTTAAAGGGCCACTTTTTGAAATATCAGCCAATTTTTAATCCACATTTGTGCTGTATGAGTATTGAGTAGAGCTCATTTTTAAGCAGCATTATCAGATGTCTTTCAAATATACATTACCTTTACCAGCTATTTTTTCTTAAGAAAATTTTGTAAATCTATTAAAGACTAATCCTTTACTGTCCTGCCCTGAGCCCCTGTTACCTCTCTCTGGAGGCAGACAGCAGGATCTTTTAATAAATGTTGTATATTTACACTACACTCTCTAACACTACAGAGAGCAGCACAGGGTAAAACCACCTGTTTCCTCCCCAGCTGTTGACAGCACGGGATGACACATCAGTTCTGCTACAGCAGTTGTCTTCCATGTCCTGGCCTGATTCCAGGCTGTAGGGTATTAGCTTCAATTAGAGGAGTTTCAAGTTGGCCTTTGGCCAAGACTTTATGAACCTCATAAGAAACAGAAGGTTCAACACTGGGCTGCAGCTGATTGCAGCTGATATATGCAAGGTGGGCTTCCCTCACACTTACTCAGATTATTGCCTAAGTGTATTCTTTCTTTTTTCTGCATGGTTTATTCCTTTCTTTACTGCCAATACAAGGCCACTATGTACTTTTGCCCACAGCCCTGTTCTCTACAATGATCTCAGATGGAGTCATTGTGAGATCTCCTTAATCAACAGGTTTTTTGCTTCCTCAATCAGACAATCAGGTTTGCAGTGTTACAAGCAAGTAGGTGTTGTATATGCAATTGTAATACAGCTTGGATAAATGGATTTTTAAAAATGTTTATCTCAAAATGTGATAATGATTGAAAAGCTTCAGTTTGGAATGGTGCCATGTGTGTCTTCATGATAGTATGACTAACAGTAGGATGCTGTGTGTGTCCCAAGCAGGTTTTCTAAGAATGGTGTTTTGCATCAGGAATACTAAGTTTTTCTGAGAAAAAGATTGCACCTCCCTAGTTCAACAAGGGGAATTGCAAAGTCCTGCACCTGGGGAGGAACAAACCCAGGCACCAGTACACACTGGGGGTCACGCAGTTGGAATGCAGCTTGGTAGAAGAGGACCTGGGGGTCCTGGTGGACACCAAGTGGACATCCTGGTCCTGGTGGACACCAAGTGGACATCCCAGCAGATATCCTGTGGGGAGTCTGTTATAGACCACCTAACCAG